ACAGGGTCGCTATGGGTCGGAATCAACTCGACGGCACTTAACAACAACAATCTTTATGGAAGCAGATGCTAGGTCTTGTGGATCCTTTGGGTTGGTTTGGATCATCCACCTTTCTTTAGCAGCAGAGCACGTAACCATTTGCACCCCCAGGGCTCCTTAAATTATTTTCAAGTTCTTGGCCCAAACCAACCAGTTGCCATGGAGTCAGCTGCCTCTCATGGGCATTCCTCATGTGTCAGAGTAGAACTGTGCTGCACATGGTTTTCATTGGTTGATGCTTTCTGAAGGTAATTACCAGGCCTTTCTTCTGAGGTACTTCTGTCTTAAGCCTCCAGCCTTTTGATTAGCAGCTGAGAGGCCTTAACTGGTAGTATCACCCCAGGACTCCAGAGCTTTTGACACACCTGGCCAAATTGCTTTTCTGTTAACTTTTATTTTTAAATCTGAGCATATTCAAAATGTGCTGGTTGCTGATGAAAACTCATTATTTAAAACCCAAACAGACTGTTGTCAATTCGATTCCACTCTGTAGGACACAGTAGAGCTGCCCCCTAGGGTTTCCGAGGCTGTAAAGCTTTACCGAAGCAGACTGCCAGATCCGTCTCTCTCACAACAACCAGTGGATTTGAACCACTGGCCTTTGGATTAGCACCCAGCTGAGCACTTTAACCACCACACCACCAGGGCTTCCTGAGCTATGACAAGTGAGTGGTAGATACGGGACTTCCTCTATTAAGGAAAGAAGATCTCAAGGAAGCAGATTGAATTGCAACAGTGCTCACTTAATATCCAAAGTTGCCAGATTCCAAGTCAGTCACTGAAAGAAATGGGATTGGTTTTCTGGGGATAAAGTAGCTGTTAATAGTTTTGAGGCCTTCTTCCATCCATCCATCCATCCATCCATCTATCCATCCATCCATCCATCCAGTCCACATTTAACTGACTCTTCAACCCTGTGCTTCCTGGTTCCTGGCCTCTGCAGGTGGGCTGGCTATAAACGTGCCCCCTGGACAATGTGACTTGGTGAGGGAGAGTCAGCCCTCTGGTAAGCAGGAATCTCGGAAGTCAGCATTGACACCAGCCGTTTCTGCAGACAAACAGCAGCACTCCCAGGGGAAATGCTTGCTTTCATAGTGAAAAGCTTGTTTGTTGTAAAACAAATCACTCTGGAGTCTCATTTTTCATCGTTGACAGAAGTGCAGGGGTCCTGTGGTTTCTGGAATGATGATGTGAAAATGAATGAGGTAGTGTAATGTAAAAAATCGTGCTAAATGAAGGAAATTACTGACACATTTTGCTTCCATGATTATATGAGATTCATAGTTCTATTTCTGTTTACAAAGAACTTTTTACTTAGTAACAGTTGTGTTTTCATACATGCCTAGGAAGTTAGCTTTCCTTTTTGAATGTGGGAAACAGACTTGGAGAAAGCATGGGTTGATTTTCAAGGCAAGAGTCACAGGTTTGGCTAAGATAGGCCCAGAATAGAGACCTCAGCAAGTAAGTGGTTACCAGCGGGTAGGGGGCACTTGTCAGTAGATATCCTCTATTTAGACCCCATGTGACCGAGGACAACTGCCACAGAGTTTTCCTGCACGTAATCTTGACTAGAGCAGATCGCGAGGCCTTTATCCCTCGTAGACTCTGTCTGGCTGCTGTGTGGGTTGGAACTACAAACTTTTTTTTTTTTCAGCAGCCAGCACTTAACCCTTAAGCTCCAAGAGCTTCTTGGGAAGAGGAAGTCATGGGGAGTTAGTTCTTCAGTGGGTACAGCATGGCTGTTTGTGGAGACGCAAACCTAGTGCTGATGATTGGGCACTGAGGTGAATGCAATCAGTGGCAGTGAATTGCACATTTGATTTGATAAATCTTACAGTCCTGGTGTGGTGCTGTAGGAGAAGCACTTGACTGACAGGTCGGTTTGAACCACAAGGTCATCGGTTCAAACTCACCAGCTGCTCCTTGGAAGAACTATACAAGGTCATCATGAGTTGGAATCCACTCAACAGCAGTTAATAACAACAGCACATTTTACAGCATTAATTTTTTTTTTTAGAAGCAAAAATAAAAAAATAAAAACAGTAATAGTGGGGGAGGATAGCATTAGAGACTGGCCACTCACCATTTGGTTGGCTATCTCTCTTGTCCCTCAGGGACATGTGGGTGGAAAGAGTGGCTTGCTGGGAATAAGTGACCCAGAGCAGAACCACACAGTGTGGAACACAGTGTGCGGAGAGGGAAGACTCACAGTTGATCAGTTCTGGGATTTTCACTTACTTTTGCTCAGGTTATGCATCCAACCCAAACAAGAAGCCTGTGACCCCTCCTGGTGACCCCATGTGTTTAGAGTGAAAGTAATGAATAGAGAACAGTAACTTGGTGTGTACCATTAGTTCAGAGGCGTTGGAATGTTCTGAAAGCCAAGTTTAGCTCTTCTAGCTACACTTTCTTTTCTCTACAAGCTCGTATCTTTGCTTTTAGATCTGAGATGTTAGGTGCTTTGAGTCCGTTCTGACTCTTAGCGACCCTGTGCACAACAGAACCAAACGCCGCCCGGTGCTGCGCCCTCCTCACAATTGTGATTACGTTTGATCCCATTCTTGCAGCTGCTGTGTAAATCCATCTTGGGGGTCTTCCTCTCTTTCTCTGACCCGCCGCTTTGCCGAGAATGATGTTCTTCTCCAGGGACTGGTCCTTCTGGATTATATGTTCAAAGTATGTGAGAGATAGATTTTTTAAAAAGCCAAAGGTTGTTTTTTTTTTAATTTTTAAATAACAAAATAAGTTCTCTAAATTTCTGAGCATTAATCTCCTGGCTTATAATGATAAGAACGAATGATGGATATTTGTTTTCATATGCATTTTCTATTCCATCTGCCACTGTGTAGTTAAGAACTCTTATTAACAGAAGCAAACTTGTTCATTAACTTTACATTTTTATTCAGTTTAGTCATTTGGAATGCTGATTTCTAAGACGGGACTTAATGTGGGTTTATTTTCTCATTTGTCACATTTAGCTCTGAAATTCTTTTTCGCTGACTTCATTTCAGAACGGGTCTATTAAGTAATGGAGAAGATTGGAAAATTAGACCAAAGTTCCCTTTTTATTTGTAAAAAATTTTGAGAATCTTGGGCATTTATGTGGAGACAAAACAGTATGGTGAATTTATGTTATCTGCTGCTTCAGCTCTATGTACCACCCCCTCCCCATCAGCCTTTCATAGACACCCCCCCCCCCCGCATTGGTGGGGTGCCGATGGTGGACACACACAGCTGCTAACTGAAAGCCCTGGCTGGTTGGATTAATCAGGAAAAAGGGCACCTGTGCATTGGAGCATCGCAGAAAAACCTGCCTTGCTGCATGCAGCCCATAAGGGCCAGCGGTGAGGATGAGAGTATGTCCCTGGGCATTCACTGCTGAATGCCATTTGGCTGCTACCTCCAGGTTGGAGGCTGGAGTTCACCTGGAGGTGCCATCAAAGATAGCCCTGGTAATGGACTTCTGAAAAATCAGCCATTGGAAACCCTCGGGACCACAGATCTCTGACTCATGTGGGGTGGCCAGGAATCTGAGCTGACCATGTGACTGATAGAATGCACTTGAAACCGGTCTCAGGCGCCCTACCACTAGTGACATATTTTCATCTTTGGTGGTTGCCATCGAGTTGGTTCTAAATCACAGCAACCCTGTATAGGGTTTTTGAGGAGCAGCTGCTGGATTTGAACTGCTGACCTTGTGGGTTGCAGTCCAGTGCTGATCCTAAGCTCCACATCAGGACTCCTCCATCTTTGGTAGGAAGCTTGTGATTGTGAGCCTACTTGCTGATTGTTCCGGGGCAGGACAGCTGGGTGTGTTAAAGGACAAACGCCGAGGATTGTGTGGGGCATGGTGGTAGGCTTCTGTCAAGGTGGTGAGTGAATGTAGGTTTCTGTCGTTCTTAGAAAGGGCTGACGGGCATCTCTTCTAAAGTGTGGTACGGACATCGTGTGCCATCTCTGGATTTGTTCTTTGTCCCTATGTCATCTTCCAAAAGGATTTTCAGGTAACTGAAAAATTACACAGACATACTCCAATAAGATAGAAAAAGGAGCCCTTGGGTGACCCGAATGGTTAAGTGCTTGATTACTAACCGATAGGCACCCTGAGGTGCCTCACAAGAAATGGCTGGGAATCTACTTCCAAAATACCAGTCCTTGAAAACCTTGTGGAGTGCTGTTTCTACTCTACACACTCGAGAGCACCCTGAGTCATTGTCAGCATGATGTCTCTTGGAAACAAGGTCAAAAACAGATTAGATGAAGGAATCTGTGTAAAGGGGTGAACGAGGCTCGTGTTTAAGTCGGAAGGGAATTACGGAGCGTACCCACACAGATATGAGGCAGGGTTTTATGTGGTGGTCAGAGTTATGCTATTGGGTATTCTATGTCAGAAGGAAACGGCCCGTCTTAAAATATCCCTCAAATTTATGAAGCATATCTTTTTCTGTCACTGGAGAGAACATTCCTCCACAGACTTTTCTGGAAGGGGCGTTGGGTGGAAGGTAAGGGGTAACTTGGCTTCAGAGCAGATGGCTCCCTGGGCACTGTGAGGCACCGTGGAAACTCAGCAGCCCCCGCCATTTCTTGAGCTATCATGTCTGAGGCACGGTGCCAGGTGATTTTATTTCATGACATCTTCACAGCATGCTTGTTCCATAGATGGTATCATTTTCTGCTTTTTCAAGAGAGAAAATGGAAATTCGCAGAAAACAAGTAACTTGCCAAGGATAGGCAGTTATCTGTATTCAGTTTGCTAAAAATGTTTCAACGCCTAGTTCAAGGGGACTATTGCTTTGTGTTCTGTGGGTTGGTGGCATGAGTATCCATGAAGTCTGCGTGTCCGTCGGTCATTGTTGGCCTGAGGTCCCATCACCGTGGAGAGGGCAGCTCCTGATTATTGTGAGGTGACGTCCCTTGTACCTGGCCAGTTCTGGATTTCATTTGTTTCGTTTTTTGTGCAGAGAGAAACGGAGCAGTGGAAAGAGAAGAGCCGCTTGCTGGGGAGCGTGGGGAAGAAGGCCGACAGCGAGAGGAGGACGATGATAACGCCTGCTCTCCGAGACGCCCTCACTAAACAAGGTGAAGAGCCTCTCCAGTTGTTGCCACGTCACTGCACGCTGAACAATCCGGAGCCTGTACTTAGGAGTTGTTAGGTGCTGTTGAGTCAGTTCCGACTCAGCGATGCTGTGCACAGCAGAACACTGCTTGGTCCTAGTCAGCCTCACCCTTACATCATTGTGTCTTAGAGCCTACTGCTGTAGCCGTGGTGTCAGTGCATCTTGTGGATGGTCTTTCTCTCTTTTGCTCATTCTCTGCTTTATCACAGGAGTATTGTAGACTAGGCACTGGGCTGTTAATCGCAAAGTCGGCAGTTCAAACTCAACAGCTACTCTGAGGAAGAAAGATAAAGGCTGTCTTCTCCAAACATGGATGAAATGCATCCTTGTCTTCTATGGTCTTCCATATTCATTGTCCAACTTTCACAGGCACTTAAGGCAGCTGAAAACACCATGGCTTGGAACAGGCGTGCCTTAGTCCTGCTCTTGAATAAATAGCTCTAGACTGAGCCTGCGCTGGACTCATCTAACCAATAGACTCAGAGGCTCAAAGATTTCTAGTCGTGGGAGCCCTAAGGGGCAGTTCTACCCCGTCCTGCAGGGTTGCTCTGAGTGAGCAGCATCTCGATGCCAGTGTGTTTTACCCTACACCACGAAGCATGATTCCTTCTCCAGGGACTGGGCTCAAGTCTCACCATGCTCATTGCTCAGGTGCACTCCAGCTGTACTTCTGGGACATGATTCTTGGTCCTTCTGGCCATCTGTGGTATATTTACTATTCTTCACCAACACTGTAATTCGAAGGCAGCAATTCTCTTTCAGTCTACCACCTATTTTCTTGTCCAGCTTTCACATGTATGTGAGGTGATTGACAATACCCTGGCTTGAGTCAGGCACACCTCAGCCCTCAGAGTGACAGTTTTGCTCTTTAAAATGAAGTCTTTTGCCGCAGATTTGCCTAATGCAGTGTGTCATTTGATATCTTTACACCCATTTCCATGCGAGTCGATGAAGAAAGGAGGTGGTTTGAACCCACAAGCTGCCTTGCAGGAGAAAGATGTGGCAGTCTCTTCCATAAAGATGTACTGGATTGGAAACCCTCTGGGACAGTTCTCCTTTGTCCTATAAGATCTCAGTGATTTGTAATTGACTCAGTGGCAGTGGGTAGTTTAATGTCCACTTATCCATTAATCCCATCCAGTGTGTTTTGCAGCTCAGTATAATTTTCATCTCTAGAAGTTCAGTTTGAGTTTTTTTTGTATCTTCTATGTTTCTCTTTAGAAACAGGGAAGTTGGACAGTGAATAAGGAAGAATAGAGAAGAATTAATACATTTGTGTTGTGGTGTTGGAGAAGTATATTGATAGTACCATGGACTGCCAAAAGAACAAACATCTGTGTTGGAAGAAGTGCAGCCAGAATGCTCCTTGGAAGCTGGGATGGCCAGACTTTGTCTCTCATACTTTGGACATATTATCAGGAGGGACCAGTCCCTGGAGAAGGATATCAAGTTTGGTAAAGTGGAGGGTTGGAGAAAAAGAGGAAGACCCCCAGTGAGATGGATTGGCACAGTGACTGCATCAATGGGCTCAAACGTAGCAACAATAGTGAGGATGACGCAGGACTAGATAGAGTTTCGTTGTGTTGTGTGTAGGGTTGCTATGAGTTGGTACCGACTTCATGGCACCTTAAAGCAGTAACTTTTCTACTTAATTTTAAGTTAAGTAACTTTTTAGGTGAAATGCCTCTTTAAGTTAGAAAAATTCTTTAAAACTACTTGTTTTCTAACATCAATGTCCTGTACGGGTCAGTTTTGACTGATGAGTGCTTTTGCCCATTATTGACCACATGTTTTGCTGTTTGCATACCTGATAATCTGATTGGATACCAGACAGAGTTGTCCTTAATTGTGTGCTACCTGTTTTGTATTCCTATAAAACATTCTAGAGTCCTGGTGTAGGTACACTGTAGGATAAGCACTGGACTGCTAACCGCAAGGTTGGCAAACCTACCAGCCGCTCCTTGGAAACGCTATAAAGATTTGCTTTGAGTCTGAACCGACCGGATGGCACTTAACAGCAACTTTAACATTCTTTGAGTCCTGGGCCGGTGTCCGTGGTTACTGTGCTCTGTGGCTGCTAGTGGAAAGGTTGTAAGTTTCAGTTCTTTCAGAGGTACCTCCGACCTGACACCCATGGGATCTCAGTGAGACAGAATCAACTTCTGCCACCGACTATTAACATCCTAGGATGAGGCTGTTACTTGGAAGTAGTTTGAGCCCCTGAATCTATTGGTTAGATGAGTTCAGCACAGGCTCAGTCTAGACCGTTTTATTCAAGAGCAGAGATGTCCGTTTGAGGACTAAGGTGCGCCTGACCCAAGCTATGGTGTTTACAATTGCCTTGTGTGATTATGAAAGTTGGACAGTGAATACAGAAGACCAAAGAAGAAATTGATGCATTTGAGTTACGATGTTGCAGAAGAATACTGAAAGTACCGTGGACTTCCAGAAGATTAAACAAATCTGTGTTGGGAGAAGTACAGCCAGAATGCTCCTTAGAATTTAGGATGGAGGGACTTCCTGAAAAAGGACATCGTATTTGGTAAGGTAGAGGGTCAGAGAGAAACAGGAAGACCCCCAACGAGATGGGTTGATACAGTGACGGCAGTAGTGGGCTCACAGCAGTGTTTTGTTCTGTTGCGCATAGGGTTGCTATGAGTCAGAACTGACTGGACAGCATCTAACAACAACAAGCAAGAGAGCCCTTATGTGGTATGGTAGGCTAAGCACTGAACTGATAACTGCACGGTCATCAGTTCAAATCCACCAGAAAGGTGAGGAGAAAGCTGAGGCTTTCTGCTTCTGTGAAGATTTGCAGCCTTGGAAACCCTATCTATACAAGGTTGCTAGGAGTTAGAATAGACTTGAGGGCAGTGAGGTTTTTTTAATGTTTAATTTTGGCATTGAGGCAAAAAAGAAGCCTTGGTGGCACTGTGGGATAAGCATTGGACTAATAGCAAGGATGGCAGGTCAAACCTACCATCCTTTCCTAGGGAGAAAGATGAGGCTATTTGCTCCTGGGAAGATTTAGGGTCTCAGGAACCCTATATTAGTGTCACTTAGAATTGGAATCGATTTGATGGCAGTGGAGTTTGGTTTTGGTGTGGAGCGCTTTTGGCTCAGTGGATTAAGCATTGAGATGCTAACTGCAAGGTTGGAGGTTTGCTGCTCCATGGGAGAGAAATGCATCAGTCTATTTCCAGATGGATGTGTAGTGGTAAGAGGCAGCAATGAAGAAATGGGCTGAGTTCAACCACTTTAACCTGAAGATGAGAAACAGAAGGGGAAGGGCTGGTTGGTCCTAAGGACTCCTAAGCCCATGGACAAGGACGTAGCCACGGAGGGCTAGAGCTGAGAGTGAAGCATCCAGCTGATATGAAGTGAGGGGAGATGTACAAGAACACCCAGACTTGCAGATAGTACCCATTTGACCTAGCCTTGATGGCTTGATAATCAGAAATTGACTGGAAGAAGATTAAAAAACAAACAAAACAATTTTTGATAAAAGAAATAAGTGAAATTGCTATAGTTTGATGAACTTAACCTATACTTTGTGATGTAGTAGCTCAAAATACCAACTGAGAGGGAAGGAGTCGTCACATCAAGTATCAATCCTATCCCCTCTGAATGCAGGGTTAATAGGGACGGGTAACTTAGACATTGGCCACCGAAAATGAGGGGGCAATAAAGGTATGAAGTGACTGGCTTGGAAGTTTTCAAGAGAGAGTTCAGTTTAAGAGTGTGTGGCAGAAGACAGGGTCCACACTGAATAGTTTTCATCTGTTCAGTCTAGACGGGTCTGGTGGAAAGAGATGGGGATAAGATTCTTATGATTCAGTAGTGAGTAATTGTTATCATGACTAATTGCGACTGTCACAACTGTAAAGGTAGAAGTTTTGTAACAAAAACGGGTGAGTGGCCAATCTTACAGTCCAGAAAATGAGGACCCTAGGACCATCAAGGGAGAAGAGCACAAGTGGAATATTGGACCCTATCCAGAGAAGCAGCGACACCAGTGCCCTTTGGTTGCTTAAATTATTATGTATTTCTGAGTGTTTTTGTGTGTGTACATCCCTCTTCCCCCGAAAAAAACCAACCACACGCAACAAAATCAGAGGGAATAGAAACAAATACCACTAAATAATGATTCACGGGGGCGATTGGAGGAGATTATAGTCATTGCAATGAGACTGTGCAAAGCCAGCGTTCTCCCATGTAAAGTATCACTCAGTTCACAATAAAAACTTGAAAAAAAAACCCCAAAAAGAAACCCCACAAGATATATAGTGTGGAAAACCCTTCCCTTCTGCCCTAGAGGGTCTCTATGAGTCAGAATTGCCTCGATGGCAGGGGATTTAGCTCCACTTCGTTTAATCAAGGCAAAACCTTCTGTTGATTTTATGTACTGCCTTATGAATCTTGAGGTTTGTAGTTTAGTCAGTAGGAAGAAGCAGAGTCCCAGCTCGTTGTATTAGGTCATCCTGTGGGTGTCTCTGCCTCATCCTAGGTAGCTCTTCTCCTCTGCATGCCCTGGTCAGTACTCAGGGGGGTCTTGATATGCGGTGTCTCTGCCCCATCCTGGATAGCTCTTCTCTGCACGCCCTGGTCAGTACTCAGGGAGGTCTTGATGTGGGGAAGCCTCAGCATGTCTTGGGGCTCTTCGGCTATGAACTTGAGCTGCTGCCCTCGTGAGCTCACTGACCCTGCTACCTGGCCTGGAAACCTTCCCAGAAGTTAGGTCAGTGGTGGGTACTAAATTGGGGGAGATCTGAGAACTCACGTTTGTTTCCTGTCTCTCTGGGGCTACTTCTTGTTTGATGCTTCATCTCCTGAAAATGGTGGTTGTGTACGTGTTGTCTTTATGGTATTTCAGGTGAAAGGACCAAGCCTCCCCTTGGTTACCAGCCGGTTTCATCTCCTGAAAATGGTGGTTGCGTACATGTTGTTGTCTTTGTGGTATTTCAAGGAAGAGAACCAAGCCTCTCCTTGGTTACCAGCCGGCTCTGGCACTGTAATTTTCAGCAGACTTACACTTTTGGCTTCTCTGGGTGTTTTGATGGTCAGCAACGCTCTCTCCATCCTGCACTGTGCATTTCTGTTCCTATCAAAATGCAAACTTCTATAGAAGGAACAGATATATTGTGAGTGTCGTTTCTGTGATTATGGGAGAAAAAACATACTTGGAAATCGAAAAGAAATACTAGAATTTTGTCTGGGAGTCTATATTTATTTATAATTTTTAAATTGTGGTTAAAATATACTTAAGAAGACATATGCCTTGGCAACAATTTCTACATGTACATTTCAGTGACACTGATTTCATACTTTAGACTGTGAAGCTCTTCTTCCGGTACTTTTTCAAATCATTCCGCCACCCTTAACATAACCGCTAAGCCCCTAAGCAAACCTCGTCCCTCTTCACTCTAGGATTGGGATCGCTGGGTCATATGTTGTTGTTGTCGTTGTTAAGTGCTGTCCAGTCGGTTCCGACTCATAGCAGCCCCGTATAGAGTTTCCAAGGAGCGGCTGGTTCTGGCTCATAGCAGCCCTGTATAGAGTTTCCAAGGAGCAGCTGGTGGATTTGCTCTGCTGACCTGATGGATCAAACTAGCCTTACAGTTCAGTGCTCATCTTATAGCACCACCCAAAGACTGGTAGTTCTATATTCAGCTTTAAATGTTATTGTTATTTTTATTGGAAATATACAGCAAAATACACACCACTTCAATGGTTTGTTTCTACATGTATAATTTGGTGACGCAGATTACATTCCTTGAGTTGGGTAACCATGCTCCCCCTCCTTTGCTGAGTTGTTTTGCCCTCATTAAATAAACTCACTGTCCGCTAAGATTCCTATCCAATATTTTGAGTTGCTTTTGTTAATTTGATTCCATATGGGTAGTTCTTGGAACTACCTGGTTGTGTAATGGGTTACAAGTTGCACTTAGCTGCATGGTTGTGGGTTTGAATCCACCAGCACCTTCATGGGAGACAGATAGACTTTCTGCTTCTGTAGAAATGTACGGTCTCAGAAAATTTAGACGGTTGATTCGACCACCAACAGCAACAAACAGTTCTTAAAAGAATATGATCTTTTTTTACTAAACTATTGTTTGGTTTTAATACGACTTTAGGGAATATTTTCGGTTTACGTTTTAAAGATTCTCAGGGCCATAGTGTCAGGGGTTCCGCTAGCCCCCGTGGTCCCAGTAAGTATAGAGTCCATGAGAATTTGGAATTCTGTTCTGCATGTTCCTCCCTTTGATGAGGATTCACATTGTTCAGTTGTGGTAGCTGGGCACCATCTAGTTCTCCTGGTCACATGGCAAAGGAGACAGTTATTGATGAAGGCACTTTTCCATAACTTCCTCCTTTTCCTGATTTCTTCTAGGTCAATAGAGACCAGTTGTTGTGACTTGGATGGCTTGCTAGTTTTTAAGACTCTGAGCATTACACATTGAACTAGGAGGTTGCACAGAAGCACTAAATATGTTATTAGGCCAGTGATCAGAGATGTCCCATGAAACCATGACCCTAAACTTCTAATCCAAGGGAAGATGTTTGGTTGTACACAAGCAGCCTAAGCAGCTAATTTTGTTGTTGTTTTTGTCATCGTAAATCTATCTACCACACGACTTTTGCCAATTCCAGTTTTTTAAAGGTGTGTAACTTACTGATCACAATGCTAATGCTTGGCTCTGCAGTCCTGCAGTTAATCAGTATGATTGCTCCATCACCGTTAGTCCCATTTCTGCCCCTCCTCTTTCGCCCCTGGTAATCACTAGTCAACTTAGGCCTCGATACATTTGTCTTTTCTTGTCTTCATGTATAAATGATATCATACGTATGGTCAGGAGACCTGGTGTGGCACTGCATCATAATGCACTGGACCGAAAGGTCGGTTTGAACCACAAGGTCATGGGTTCAAACTCACCAGCTACTCTTCAGAAACCCTCTACAGGGTTGCTATGACTCAGAACTGACTCGGTGGCATATAACAACAACAGCAATACCATGTGGACAACTTTTTGTGGAGCCACTTAATTATTTTCCACAGTGACGGCACCATGTCTCATTCCCAGTAGCAATGAACAAGAGTGTCAGTGTCTGTCTCTTTACCAATGCCTCGTTTTTTGTTTTCTTGGTCATTTCCATTCCAACAGGGTTGAGGTGGTGTCTCATTGTGGTATTGCTAACCACAAGGTTCCAACCCTCCAGCCCCTCCTTGGAAACCCTATACAGAGTCTCTATGAGCCTGAATGGACTTGACGGCACTTAACAACAGTAACTGATGAAGGAGCCCTGGTGGGTCTATGGGTTAGGCGTTGGATTGATAACTGCAAGGTTGGTGCTTCAAACCCACCAGCCACTCTGGGACAAAGATGAGGTTCTCTGCTCCCTTGAAGATTTACAGGCTCAGAAACCCTATAGAGGGTTGTTAGGTTGTGGTGTGGTGTGTTAATACGCTGGACTGCAAGGTTGGTTTGAGCTGCAAGGTCAGCAGTTCAAGCTCACCAGCTGGTCCTTGGAAACCCTATGCAGGTCACTGTGAGTTGGAAGCTACTCCAGGGCACTTAACGAGTCAGAATGGCCTCAGATGGCAGTAGGTTTTTGGTTTAGTGTCTAGTGGCATCTTTCCTGAGCTTGTTGGCCATTTGAATGTTCTCTTTGGTGAACTGTGTTCAAGTCCTTTAGCTATTTTCTGATTGGATTGTTTTTGTTTTTGTTAAGTTGTCCAACTTTGAAAATACCTTTTGGATGGTAGCTTCCTATTAGATCTATGGTTCCTGAGAATTTTCCCCCAAACCTTAGGCTGTTTTTTCACTTTGTTTTAATTGAGTGCTTCTCTGAACAAAAGAATTTAATTTGCGTCAAGTCCCACTCATCCAGTTTGTCTTGGGCTGCTTGTGCTTTAGTTATGCGGGGATCTTTTAAATGAATGTTTGTCTGTATCTGAGAGTAACAATTCCCATGGACTCAGCTCTATCTTCAAATAGCTAAACTGTGCTCTGTTTATTTATATGCACGATGTTTTCATCAACGTTGGAGAGGATAAAAGACGAAAACCCTGTAATGTTGCCACTAGAGAATTGTAATCCAAATTGACATTATTCCATTAATCATCACACAGACTGGATGTTTCACCAGCTCCTGATCCACTTAGGCCAGCATATCCGGGCTGCGCATCTCCATTTACCTCATTTGTCTGCAAGGCAAGGGCCTATTCTGTGCAACAGACTCATGGTAATTGTGGCTTATTACTTGTAGCCTCATGAGAAACTGTATTAAATGCTTCCTGAAATCACAAGGTTCTACTTATGTGCTCAGTTACTTTGTTACAGAGGGAAGTAAGTGTGATACCCAGGCAGGCTTTCCCCATGCTTCTCATGGCTGATGTAGCTCCAAATGATGTAGTGGAAGAGAGCCCTGATAGCACAAGGGTGAAGCATTTGGCTGCCAACCAAAAGGTTGACAGTTCAAACCCACCCAGCAGCCCTGCAGGAGAGAGAGCGGGCTATCTGTTCTGGTAAAGATGATAGCCTTAGAAACCATGTTGTTGTTAAGTGCCATTGAATCAGTTCCTAGTCAAAGCGACCCTGTATAGTGTTTCCAAGGCTGTAAATCTTTTCAGGAGCAGAAAGTTTCACCTGTCTCCCACAGAGTGCCTGGTAGGCTTGAAACACCAACCCTGTAGTTCACAGTCTAGTACATATCCATCAGAGCCACTGCTAACCCTAGAAAATCTTAGGAAGCAGTTTTATCCTGGCACACAAAGTCACTATGAGTCAAAATTGACTTGAGACAACAAGGTTGTGGGGTGCTACTGAAAATTCATATGTGGTTGTATTGTTGTTGTGAAGTGCCGTTGAGTCGGTTCTGACTCAAAGCTGCCCTGCATAGGGTTTCCGAAGAGTGAGTGGCTGGTGGGTTTGAACTGCTGATCTCGCGGACTTTGTGGTTAGCAGTCCGTTGCTGATCCTACAGCACCATGTGATTATAGCAGCTTCTAGAGTTCACTGTGCCTCCCTCTTTGGAAGTGTTTCTCTGTCTTCATCTTCTGGCCCAACTGTGCTTCATGTTTTTTCAAAGATTACTGATGCTAGTTCCTCAGCACAAGCCAACGTTAAAATACCTTGCTATTTGTTTTTGCTGGGGTGGTGGTGGTGTGCTATGGTGTCAGTTCCAACTCATTGGCAACCCTGCACAGGGTTTCCGAGGCTGTAAATCTTTATGGGAGCAGAAAGCCTCGTCCTTCTCCCATGGAGCATCGGCCAGTTTTGAAGTGCTGGCCTTGAGGTTAGCAGCCCAACTTGTAACCACTGCGCTACCAGAGCTCCTTTGTTTTTGCTATAGAACTTAACATGTTCTTTGCATGCATTTTCTTGAGTTTGAAAAGCACGTGAGTTCTGTTGTTGAGTGCAGGTCTGTGGATCTGTGGGTTGTATCTTTGTGTATTGTGTTTTCAGATGTTGTCGAGCTTGACTGAGTTTTGGTCCAGGAGATTTATTAGACGTGAAAGAAATGAAAGCCTCCTCTCTGTGGTTTCCCATCAGCCATTTGCTTCTCGATGTGTTGGAAGCATACACATTTCCAGTTGTTTCAACTTGTGACTGAAACCACTAATGTCTTCTGCCACTGGGTGGTTGAGTACCATTATTTAAGCAGAGGAAAAATGATTTTTGTTTAAAATTTCAAAATTTCCGTTTGATTGAAGGCTTTGCATCCATTCTGTTAACGTGTTCCTTGTTTTTTCATTCAGGATATCAATTGATTGGAAGCCACTCCGGGGTGAAGCTTTGCAGGTGGACTAAGGTATTGACTTGTTTTCTTTTCAGTGTTATTTCTGTTCTATGCAGCTTTTATGTGGCTATTACATGCGGGCAATCAATTTCTCCCATTTCAAAGGCACGCTTTCCACCGACTCACTGCTGGCGAGTCTGTTTAAACTCACAGCGACTGTATGGTACAGAGGAGAAGTGCTCCCCATAGGTGGGACTTGTCCTTGGATCAGCTGGTGGGTACAGTCTGCAGCCCAGTGCTTAGCCCACTGCCTCACCAGGACTTCTATCAAGGCATGCTTTACATTCACTAAAATGCACAGAGTTTTTAAAAAAACAAAACTTTATTGTGGTGGGATGAAGGTTTACAGAGCAGATCATCACTTTTCCATTCAAATATTACCCATTTTGTTTCATGTCATTGATTGTTGTTGTTTTTAAGTGCCGTTGAGTCAATTCTGACCCATAGCAACCCTGGTCCAAGGAGCAGCTGGGTGAGCTTGAACCGCCGACCTTGCAGTTCAAACAGCTTTGCAGTCTGGTGCATTAACCCACAGCACCACACCAGGACTCCGTCATTGATTGGAATCCCGAAAATGTAACATCACTCATCCCACTTCCTTCTCTTGGTTCCTGTTCCCATTCCTCCGCCTTTCCTAACCCCTGTGATCTTTGGGCACATGCTGCCCTTTTGATCTCAAGTGCTTGATTATTCTCAGGTGTGGTTATCTCTCTGGTGTTATTGTCCCCCTTAGTGTTGTTGTTGTTAAGTGCTGTGGACTCTGTTTCAACCCGTAGAAACTATAGGGTTTGTTCTGGCCCATAGAAACCCCTAGAAACTATAGGGTTTCCAAAGAGTGACTGGTGGGTTTGAACTGCTGACCTTACGGTTCAAACTGACCTTGATGTCCATTGCATTATTCTGCACCGCCACACCAGGATCCCTATCCCCTTATTGACCTGTCTGTTGTTTGGCTGAAAATTGAGCCACAGGGGAATGCTCTCGATTTTCAGACCCGAAGGGTGACTAAGGGGGGACCATAATCTCTGGGGTACACAAGCTTCTGTCTAACCAGTAAGCCATGTCTTTTTTATGATTTTGAGTTTTGTTTTGCAGTTTTCTCCCACTCTATCAAGGACCTTCTAAAACTGCACAGATTTTGAATGAATTCTTTTAAACAAGTTCAGTGCGTGTTGACGTATAAAACCCATGTTGCCGCCACTCCAGTTAAGAGAGCGATGAATTCCTTTGTCCTAGCTCTGGTAGCGTAGTGGTTACGAATTGGGCTGTGAACCGAAAGGTCAGCAGTTCGAAACTACCAGCTTGCTCCATGGGAGAAAGATGAGGCTTTCTGCTCCCGTAAAGATTTACAGCCTTGGAAACCCTGTAAAGGGTCGCTATGGGTCGGAACCGACTCGACGGCACTTAACAACAACAAGTAAGTCCTGGTGTAGCACTGTGGGTTAATGCGCTGGACTGCGAAGTCCCTTTGAACCACAAGGTCAGCAGTTCAAGCTCACTAGCTACTCCTAGGAAACCCCGTACAGGGTCACTATGGGTCGGAACCAACTCTATGGCACTTAACAACAAGAACAGATAAGCTCCTTGGTACTTATTTCTAGTCACCCCCTCCTAAGCCCCAGCCCAGCAGCCAGTGTCCTCATTGCTATGACTGTCGGGATATTCACTCTTGCCTAATCTAGAACTTTCTACCAGAGGAATCACACAGTCGGCATGCAGTGATTTTGTGATCTGGTCTTTTAGCTGAATACAAAGTTTCTGAGATTCAGCCACATTGTAGCATATCACACTAATTCATTCTCTTTATTACCAAGTAGTAGTACATTGTCTTTCCTGGTGTGATGCTGTGGATCAGCACTGGACTGCGAACCACAAAGACAGCAGTTCAAACCCACCAGCTGCTCAATGAAAACCCTATACTGTGTTGCTATGAGTTGGAACCGACTCGACGGCACTTAACAGCGTCAACGACAACAGGACTCCGTCTGGATATACCACAGTTTAATGTTGATAAACATTTGGGTGGTTCTCAGTTTTTGGCTAGTATGAAGAAAGCTGCTGTTGAACATTCAGAGTATAATTCCTGTCTGACTGTGATTCCAATTTGATATGTAGTGAATATTTTCCTCTTTCTTTTCAGTTAGAGGGATTAGAGCAGTGTGTAGTTATTCATTTTGAATGGGTCAGGCTCTTCATATGTTTTTTAAGTGAAAACCAGAGGATCATATCCAAAGATATCTTGCAGGAAAGTCAGAACAATGTTTATCCTCTGGGTCATTTGGGATAGAAAAAAGTAGATATCCAGTAAACATTTGTGACCAGGTCTTAGAAAACACATTTGTCTTATCTGGTTTCAGAAAATTGCGCTGATGACCCAAATGTGATTTTGGGTGAATTTTTTTATAATAAAAGAACCCTCGCAGGGAAGTAGGTTCAGTGTTGAGCTACTGACCAAAAGGTCGTCGTTTCAAATCCCCCAGTTCCTTGGGAGAAAGATGAGGCTGTCTGCTCCTGGAAAGATTTAACCACCTCGGAAATGCTGTGGAGCAGTTAGTCCGTTAATCTACTGCTGTGGACTGGGATCTGTTCCGTCCCGTTAATCTACTGCTGTGGGTTGGAATCTGTTCTGTCCCGTTAATCTACTGCTGTGGATTGGGATCTGTTCTGTCCTGTTAATCTACTGCTGTGGGTTGGGATCTGTTCTGTCCCGTTAATCTACTGCTGTGGACTGGGATCTGTTCTGTCCCGTTAATCTACTGCTGTGGGTTGGAATCTGTTCTGTTGATTAATCTGCTTAGTTGGAATCGCTCCACAACAGTGGGTTGTTATGATAAAGTTAAAAGTTGCTCTGGCATTATTGTGATGATGATGAATGTAAATGCTCTTTGAAGATGGATATTGTTGTTGTTATGTGCTGTTGAGTCGGTTACAAGCCATAGTGACCCTGTGTAGGGTTTCCAAGGAGCCACTGGTGAGCTTGAACCGCTGACCTTACAGTGCAAACGGCTGTGCAGTCTGGCGCATTAACCCACAGCGCCACCCCAGGACTTGAAGATGGACAGTTGTGCTAATGTAGGGAATTGTTCCTTTAGACTTGGAGGTGACCATAAGGAGGGTAGATGAAGCCTCAGACTGTGAAGTGGTGTCCCCGCACGGAACCAGGGGGCTCATACCCTCCTTGTCTTGTCCTCTCAGAGGACTCGAGGCTCGGCCAATGGGATGTTAGTGATGTTAGTATGGTGCACGCAGAGGTTTGACGGTGCTGGGCCTTGAAGCTAGTCCAGTTGGAATGTATGCTCTGGGAGCCCAGTTGCCTGCTGTGAAGGCCAGTCTGAACGGTGGAGGACAGAGGCACAGGAAGGAGAGCCCAGCTGATAGACGCTGAGTGAGGTCTTCTTGGATATCCCACCCCAGCTAGCTCCTAAAGACAGCCACATGAGTGACCTCAGCCCGTGCCACACGGAATGGAAAACCCATCCAGGGGGCTCACAGAACTGTGACAACTTACACCCTACACAGTTTCGACTGATGGTAACTCTATGTGTGTCAGAGTACAACTGTGCTCCATGGGGTGTTCAGTGACTGATTCTTTGTTTTTTTAAGGTTTTTATTGTGGATTGAGTGAAAAAGTTTTCAGGGCGCATCATCGGTTTCACATTCAAACATTCATAAACCTTGTTTCATTACATTGCTTATAATCCCCTCCCCATACCATCAGTTAACAGAGTTTCTCTCTATCCTCTTTAGCTTTTTTTTTGGGAAAAACTTTGCCTTTTTGGAATTTACAGTCTCGGCTTTTAGGGAAGATTTTCACATTTATCTGTGGATATCCAGGGCTCATGTATGGAATTACTAACCAGCATACCTGAATAATCAGATGAGGGACATTTTGCTATGTCTGCTAGGTGGCTAAAGTCTGATCCTCAGAGCCTATGGTTTGGACGGTCAGCAACGCTTGGGCCCACAGGGCCTTGAACTCCTGACCGGGTCTGCAGTGACTGATTCTTTAGAAGTAGATCTCCAGGACTTTCTTCTGAGGTGCCTCTGGGTTGACTAGAACCCGCAGCCTTTCTGTTAACAGCTGGAGTACATTCCCCGAGTGCTTTGTACCAGCCAGGGTGTGAGAAAGAATTAGATTGGGGCAGTGAGCCACTGAATTTGGGAGTAGTTTGTTTTGCAGCAGTAGATATCTGAGCTCCATGCAGTGGGCTGCTTATAAGGCTGTGGTCCTGGCCTGCTGCCAGGCTGGTAGGTGTTGAATGTCTGCGTGGTGAAGAATGACAAATCTAGAACTGCTAAAAGCTCAGAGCCAAAGCCTCATTCCTGGTGTTAGATAGAGATCTTCAATGAGAATGCTGAGTGTAGCTCAGGAAATGTGATATTTTTTTCCTTCCTTTTCTCAAGTCTGTGTTAAGGAATATTTGCCTGAAAGATTAAGGGCCCCCATAGGCTTTCCATCAAGGGCTTTGTGGTTTTGCCATCTTCACTGTGCAAACCTTTGTCATCTGGGTGGAACCCTGGGGAGTGGGAGGTTCTGGTGGCCAGAAATGCATGACTTTAGGAGTAATGCTGGAGGAAGGCTCCTTGAATGAAGAAGTCTCTGAATTTGACAGTCTGTTTCATCATCTTTACCATTGCTGTGTTCAAGTCTGGGAAATACAGTGCAGTGGGTTACGAGTTGGGCTATAAATGCAAGGTCAGCAGTTTGAATCTACCAGCTGCTCCTGTAAAGAAAGATGAGGCTTTCTGCTCCTGTAAAGACTTACAGCTTTGGGAACCCTATATAGGATTACTATGGAACGAGCTCCACACGGCACATAACTACCACCACCACCATATATGGAGTCCTGTGGAATAATGCGATGGTCAGTATGAACCACAGGGTTGGTGGTTCAAGCTCACCAGTTGCTCTTTGGAAACCCTATACAGGATTGCTGTGAGTCAGAACCGACTAGATGGCACCTAACAACAACAACCATATATATGTGTGCGTGCACTACACATCTGCTTTG